GCATTGCTTTGGCTGTATTTTGGAAGTACTTTTTGAGAATTGCTTTAAAGTTGGTTTACAAACTTCCAACAAAATTAAGGCTACTACTGCTTAATAGTCAAAAAGCCAACTCTCTTATTTTAAAGAACTAAAATTACATTACCCATTTTGAATATCTTCCCAAATTAGTCATCAAATTGGGCCCTGAATGAGTTTGTTTTCAAAACACAAAATCCTCTTGCAAAGAATGAAGGTGTACTATATTTTAGGACTTCACAGTTGTGTTCCAGAGTCTCGACAGCAATCCACAAATAAGAGTGATGAAGTTGTTTGAATGACAGTACTCAACATTATTGTAACAAGTAGAGAATCAGGAAGGCGGCAGCTTTGACAAGGGTATATAAGGAACTAATGTTTTATAAAGCACTTAGCACCACAAACATTCAATAAATGGTTGTTATTATCATTATATTATATAATAAGAGATAGTTTTAGCAGTGGTGGTGACTATAATCTCTCTATTGGATTGAAAAGACCAGATAATAATGAATAGAATTCAGCACACTAGGCTTATGTGAATATGGTTTCCAGGTTGTTGGATTTTTTTTTATTATGGTTATTTAAATAAGGCAGCCCAAGTTGACTAAGACAAAAGTTGCTCATTTAAGACTGGGCACGAGCAGGACCAGAGGACATACGTAAGCTGCATAAATAGGTAAGCCATACCCTCCCTATTGTCTACCACTATAACACTGATGTCACTGACAGTTCTTAACTACTGCTGGGTGGAAAGGGGTCACTTATGACTAGCTGACAGAGGCGGGGAAAGTGCCAAGCTTGGTTTATAGATGAGTTAGCTCAGTATAAGGGTAAACGCCAAAAGTGGACTGCAGCACTACCACACCACTCAGGAGGAATCATGAAAGAAAGCAATGAGGTAAAATCCTCCCAGTGGACAGAGCTCCAGGCAGTGTATTTTGTCATCCACTTCATGTAAAAAGAGTAAGAGCCCAGGATAAGAACATACATAGGCATATGGGTAGTAGAGGGTGGCCTGGCTGGTTTTTCAAGGACCAGGGGTGAGGGTGGGGAGGGTAGATCAGAGAATTAAAAACAAGGAAATCTAAGGAAACAGCATGTGTCTGGAAACATGAGAGGGTCCACAGTGTAAAGATATTTATATCACATTTATTGTCACTAGAGAGCATTTATCACAGAAGAGATACTAAGTAACAAACTATATAGTATAACTTGGCAAGCTGATGTCATTCACCCTCTGTCATTTCCCATACCAGTGTTATCACGGTTGAGTAATGAAGTAGTTGTGACAGCAGGGATGGAAGCTATGCATGGGTCCAGCAGCACAGGCTTCCACTTACCAAGGCTGTTCTAATTACTGACATTCTGAATGTCCAACCTGGCAGCTACTGAGATCAATGCTAAGCCCCTGTGATGGTTAATATTGTCAACTTGATTGGATTGAAGGACGCAAAGTATTCTTTCTGGGTGTGTCTGTGAGGGTGTTACCAGAGGAGATTAACATTTGAGTCAGTGGACTGGGAGAGGCAGACTCACCTTCATCTGGGTGGACACCATCCAATCAGCTGCCAGTCTGGTTAGAAAAAACAGGCAGAAGAAGGTGGAATGAGCAGACTTGCTGAATCTTCCAGCCTTCATTTTTCTCCCATGCTGGATGCTTCCTGCCCTGAAACATCAGACTCCAAGTTCTTTGACTTTTGAACTCTTGGACCTACACTAGCCGCCTTCCAGGGACTCTGAGCTTTCAACCACAGACTGAAGGCTGCCATTGTCAGCTTCCCTACTTTTGAGGTTATGGGACTTGGACTGAGCCACTGCTGGCTTCCTTGCTCCTTACCTTGAAGACAACCTATTGTGGGACTTCACCTTGTGTCTGTGTGAGTCAATTAGCCTTAATCAACTCCTTTTCACATATACATATATTCTATTAGTTCTGTCCCACTGGAGAGCCCTGACAAATATGGCCCCCAATATGGCCCCTTATCTTGAAACCAAATATCCCATTTGTGGCAAGATGACTGCATAAGTATCTTTCTATTCTTGAAGAAGTAGAGATTGATCTTACATGGTATCAACACTGGGATCAGAATAGGAGGTTATCTTTCCTGCCCCTATACCCTAAGCCAGTAGTATTACCCACAAACTTAGAGAGTCCTTGATTCAACAACATGAGATGCCACAATATATTGCATCAAACCAAGGGACCCACTTTACAGCAAAGAAGTGGCAGTAGTCACATGGGTCCACCAAATCTGTCATATACCACACTAACCAGAAGCACTGACCTTGTTGAGCAGTGTAATAAATAGCCTCTTAAATATGCAACTAAGGGGGTTCTGCTTTTATCTAAGATATAAAAAGCTGGAAAAATGGCCACTCCCACCTGAACAAAAATAAAAGTTTATATAAAGCAAAAAATCGTAACTTTCTTTGAACCTATCAAAGAGGTAAAATCACAGAGCAACCAAGTAGCCTGAAATCTCAGGGGAAAAAAGCCTTTCTAAAGAGACAAAAACACAAATGTTGGCTTACCTGTGGCAGAGCACAAGAGGAAAAGAAGATACAAGAAGTTGAGAAGAATTTGACCAAAATTTTTAATGAATTGTAAGACTAAGGATACAC